TTTATGTTTATTAGTAGAATTTTTGTGTTTGCTCTCAAACAAACTCATTGTGTATGTCCCAAACTGAAGTCTGTGCAATATCATGATTGGGGGTGGGGGTTTGGGCAGGATTTATTTCATGTTTTGAAGAAAAGCAGAAAATTGATTTCTAATACTTCTACGGTAGGGCGGAAATAAGTCGGCAAATTAACTTCAAAATAAGGGCAAAATAAAAAGGAAAACAGAGGATCTTACTTTTTCTCTGAACTAGAATTTAGAAAGTAATTACATTCAGAGCAACAATGTTTATGGTGCAGTAAGTACAAAATTTAGACCACTGGCTAAATCAGTACATGAAGCCTTTATGAAGCTCTATTATCACCCAAGTCCTACATTAAGGAAGAAAGTAATTCATTTTTAGACTTCTGCCTAGGGCATGTTTGACACAAACTCTATACAGTTTCTTTTAAAAGCTGTCTTTGATTATTAAATAGTTTTGCTTGGAAACTGCACCTTTACCCTTAAAGTGCAAAGGCAAAGCTTTTACACAGTGATAAAATGTTGTCCTGTACTTCGTACAGTCCTTTAGATAAGAGAAAAGTAAAGGTTTTAGCTTTTAGAAGAGGGTGTGTTACCAGAACAGTAATTTGCATTTGCAAATTCACAGGATTTTTACTATTAAATTAAGCCCAACAGCCAGTTTAAGCCATCAGGGAGTGGTAGAGCTGAAAAGTGGTGTAGCAGATATTGTAACTAAATTACAGCAGGTATAAGCCACCCCTTAAGGGAGACACACAGCAGGGAGGACCACTTGCAGCACAAAGCTGTCAGGGAGATCTCATAGGAAACAGGCAAGTCTGGAAGTACTAGTGCTGGTTGGGCAAGAAATAGATGACAAGTTATATGAGTGTCTGCAAGAGATGTGTGTATAATTTGTCACTACATGTGTGGTGTATACAGTTATCTTTTGAATAAGAGGATTGTGATTCCTTAGTTCTCTCAAAACTTGAACCCTGAAATTCTGAAGCATTATGTGCCTTTGCCTCTTACTTAAAGCATATAAACCCTTTTGACAAAATTCATCTTGCTGGTTTTAAGCATTCTTAGACTTTTCAGTTTTGCATATGAAAAGCTGAAACTTTTGTGTGGCTGTCAGTGAACATAAGAGCCTTTGTTACAGTGCAAAGTGTAATCTGACCTATAGCACCTTCCAAAAAGCAAATGCTGAGTGTCAAGCCCACAGACATCCAGAGCAGAAGAACAGACCCTGACAGTATTTGCTACTAAAGATATATACACAATTCCTTGCCTCAATTCATCCTCTCCAGTGTTGTGGGTCCTCTCTGGGATGGACTTGTAGGCGAGCAAAAGAAGAGGAGAGGGCTTCTGGGCCTGCAGCTGTCATAGCAACTACTCCAGATTTTTTTGTAGGGAGGCCATTAGGAAATATAGGAAAAAGCCCTTTGATCACCAAGGGATTTTGCGGACAAGGCCACTTGCTGTGCACTAGAATTACAATTTATTATGTGTTTTGCAAAAACAATAGTCTTTAATCATGCATAATTCACTGCAGAACAGAATGGTTTTAGGCACAGAAAGCAATTGAAGGCCTGAACATAACCCGAAGTTTAAAAATGTCCAATTTCTAATATGTTTTTCAAGGAAACATACCTTTCCTTAAGTTGTCATTTAAATGATTTATTTAGTCTTCTTGTAGACTAGAAATTTGGAGACCATCTAATCTGTCTGCTTATAGAGAAAGTTGTCGTTCATTTACCACCTGACAGAGAGAGCTACGCTGGGGGCTAACTACAGGTCTTGTGCTGCCCAAGGGAGGGGGCAGCAGTTTATGTTAATTCACTTTTTATAGTCCTTGCCTATGTGTTTGCAAAGCTGTTTTAAATTCACTGCTAAGAGTATGCCCAGCCATGTGAGTGACTATGTTGATGTTTACTGCTGTGCAGGTCTCAGTGATACCTTGCAGCAATGAGTTCAACAGATTTTCCACCACCCACTGTTTGGAAAAATATAATTTATTATTATTAGATTTATGACTTTTTCCCATTTCAGTGGATTCACCTTTTCTCCTCAGATGAGTTAGGGTGAATAGTTTCTGATCTACATTTTCTCTCTGCTGTTTATTTTCTTGTATCCTTTGATCATGCTCATTCTTAGTCACACTTTTCTGTAAGCACTTCCAGTCCTTTCGATCGGTTTATCATTTTTACTGCACCTTTTTCTGATGTATATTTCTTAGATGGGCTAACCAGAAATGAACAAAGTACTCCAGATGAGGCCGAATTATTGATATACATAACAAATAAAATCCTGGCTCTGTTGAAGTTGCTGTGAATTCACTGTCATCGAAGGGCTGAGGTTTCTCCTAGCACTGTCACACTTCCCACATTATTCTTCCTCCCATTTTTCATACATTCAGTTTCAGAATCTGGCAACTTAGACTTAATCTAGAATTTCACAGATTCTGTTAAATCCATTAAATTGCTGTTAGTCCTCAGATCCGGAGTTTTTCCCTGTGGACATGATTAGTTCCCTCCCCAAACTTTGTCCTGATTCACATTTGTTAGGGATGTTAGTAACTAATCTTGACGTTAGTTTTGAGTAGCTAAAACTGAGAGAAGCAGCACAGACTGAAACAATGCTGTTTGTGTTCACAATGACCTTTAGCTGCAAAACCCGCTAAAATACATTATTTAGTATATGAAAGCAAACAAATTTTTTGCCTCAGTAAATGACTGTCCATAGTGCACTATGAGTATGAGGCAAAACAACTCTGAGTTTTTTACAGTGTCTGCAAAAGGAATCTGTTGGTTTTTGTTTTCTCTCCAGAAACATCTAAGAAATGTTCAGGTTGTTGCTGCCTAATACAGTAAATGAAATGTTAATAAATTGCCAGCAATTTAGCCTGACAATAACATGGATTGACCAAATTGATTAAATTGATTATGTTTCATGTATTTACAATATGTAGACACAAGCCTAATTTATTTTCTGAAGAGTTCAAGGTAGGTATCACTGGTATAAAAAAAGGCAAAACCAAAACAATGGAGTAATGTTTGTGGTTGCTATCTGCAATAATCTAATGCTGACAGAGAGCAGTATTTTATTTAGTAATTAACAGTGTAAAGGGAAGAGAAGCTGTCATGTTGGTTCTTAAGCTGGGGAATGTGATGAAAGATGATATCTGCGATCTCATCCTTTCCACTTGTTTAGGATTGTCAGAATGAGAAATGTCAGCATTATGAAAGCTCAGCTCTGCTCTTGATATGATAAAACCCTTCAAAAGCCAGTCTTTCTTTCCCTCTCCCCCTCCTTTCTCCCTCTCCTGCTTGCACTTGCTTTTTTTATTTATCCTGTTTTGTTAGATGGCAGAAATATAATTCTTTTCTTTCTTCCTATTATAAGCCTCCATTTTTGTTTTATTATATGTTTCACAACCCCTAATGCCCCACTGAAAATTACCTTGTTAAATGACAGTGTTTCAAAGCCATGAATCCTTTCCACCATTCCCTCAGAGGTTTGAAACAGTCAACAGACTGTAAAGAATAAATAATAAAAAAGTATTGATTATTTTGATGACTGTGAGATTCAATTAAGTATTAATTTTGCCCTCCAGTGGACCTATCAAGGTATTCAAAAGGGAGGATTCGGCTCAACTAAATGCGTGCTGAGTGCTTCAGCCTTAAATAGGGAGAAAATGTGTTTACCTACAGTATTTGAAGAGGAGTGCATTGATGCACAGAGTCCAATATTTAAGTGCTGTGCAAATTGAGCCCTGGTGACAGTGACATTGTTTTCGGCAGTATGAGTATTGACTAAAGAAGAGCATTTGATGACAGCTTAAACTATTTGTATTGATTAACATTTTCATAGATTATCATGTGTCATATCAAATTCACTTTTCAGACATGAATACATTAAAAAACCCACAGGCAAACATCGACCAATGTGAGGACGGGACAGAGGGAACATGCTAGCCAACCTACTTGCTCGCTGGTCACCTGTTCTCTGCATAAGAACCATTTAGGCATGAACTTTGCAATAAATAGCTGCTAGAGAGATCAACAAGGTCACTTGCTCTTTTTCTTAGTTTTTTTTTCTCTGGTTTCTGTGCTGTCATGATATTATGCTTATTATTTTGCAAACGGAATAACTGAGTGTGCTTGGAAATAATGCCTGACACCCAAATATCCTCAATGAGCAGAAGATAAAACAGATTCTGATCATCAAGAAAAAATTTAGATGTGTACATATGTGTAATGTTGTATGGGGCATATAATGGTGCAAACACAAGAATAATTGCAAACTGTATGTGTAAGTATCTTCCCTAATTTTATCTTCTAGAAAATGTTTTCTGTGGTTTTTATTTTCAAAAGAAACATCAGTGTTTGTGTCTTTATGGACTTTTGGAGCATAGTATCCCAATGACAGGAAGAGTTAGAAGAAAATTGTATCTCTTAAAAGTGTGTAATGAAATGGCTATTTGATGCTGTGTATTTTCATAGAAATGCTGTAATGCTAGAAACTGTGCATTTGATTTTGTTAATGTTATACAGCTGAGGATGCCTCTTTAAATCACTATGGAGCACTCACAGGGGGCTCCTCTTCTGTGGTATCGGAGCATATAGGAATTTCTTCTCTTACTATGCTAAGGACAGGGTGAGGTGTAAAAACATACACACAAAAAAAAGCACATCCCACAATTAAAGCTGTGTTGGTTATGTTGCTTTCATAGAAGTTTTTCTCCAAAGCATCCTGAATCTCTCACATGCTAGTTGAGCTTTAATAGGGTGGGGAGTAATGGAAAACTCATTGGATCTGTAATAGCTCTTCACTTGACTGCAGCCAGCAATAACAGCAGGAGCAGCCAGAGATAAGAGAGAGAGAGAGAGTGTGTGTGTATGTGTGTGTGTGAGAGAGAGAGAGGGAGTGGAAGAGAGAGTATACGCACACCAAAGCTGCCACTTTTTTTTCCCCCTCACTCTTTTTTTCCCCCATCCTAGGATCCAATGATAGCTGGACAAGTCAGTAAGCCCTTGCTGTCACTGCGGAGTGAAATGAATGCAGAGTTGAGAGGTGAGGACAAGGCAGCTACTTCAGACAACGAGCTGAATGAGCCCTTGCTTGCGCCTGTGGAATCAAATGACAGCGAGGACACTCCCAGCAAGCTCTTCGGTAAGTCTGCCTAGGTATTTCATTTCACTGCTACCATGTTGTCCGGAAGAGCAATCTTCCCCTGTTCTTTTTTTTTTTTTTTTTTTTGCTCAATTTTCTTGTAAGTAGGAAAGAGTAGCTTGGAGCATGCAGGCACAGAGTCCTCTGCTCCTATTGCCACTGGTTACCAGAATGACAGCATCAGTCCTGAAAACTTTTGTTAACAATGGACGTATTTAGTGCAAGTGGCAGATGTTTTATGAATATTTTGAAACATGGACTCTAACATAAAATTGTGTCTGTGTGTGTGTGTATAATTTTCTTGGAGTACTTTAACAATTATTGTGGTAGGTGCTGGTGTGTTGCACATGCTACCAGCTTTTTCCGAGGCTTGATTAAACTGAAAAGTTAAAATTTTTTAACAGTAAAAATAAATCTGACTGAAGAGAACTGAAAGTTTCTTGTACAAAACACTTCATATTGAGTTAACAAAGCCTAGCAAGGGTATTGCACGTGGAGCTAATGTTTTTTGAATTTAAATTAGAAATTAAATATTCCTCCTCAAGCCTGTGGAAAGAGAGATTACCTTTTGATTTTTTATTCATTTTGGAATAGTCTAAATTGTGCCAGATAAGTGTAACATTTCACAATCAAAACAAAAGCAGAAAGAGTGGCACTCCAACACAGACATCTGTCATTCAAACGGATGACACCCTGTAAGCCAACTCAAGCAACTCTGATCTCTAATCAGAAAAGGGAGCAGAGCTGTTGAGGCGCGTGCTTGAGTGATAGATGTTGATAGGTGTCTGAGCTGTAGCAGCACTGTATGGTACATTGTGACATTTGGGGTTTAGAAGGACTACACTCCTGAAGAAGTCCCTTTTAATTATTTCTATTTGTGACCTGAGACAAACCTTAATAAAATGGAGCACTTACTCATTTTTTATTATTCTATCGGTGGAAGTCAAAGGGAAAAAGGTCTTGTTTAAAGGGAATGCAGCTCTAAGGGAGAGGGGGTGAGAGCCCATTTTCTAAGATTCAACTTTTGATTTCATAATCTGTAAGGAAATCTGTAGCAGTGTTCAGATTTCAGTATTTTCCTTAGAATAAGAGCTGCAATATTTTTTAAAAACAAAAGAACACGTGCAATTGTATATTGTAATATTCTTTACACATTACTGAAACATACAGCACAGAATGTTTTAATTAATAACTTCACTACAGATGCAGGAAAAATAATAATTAAACACCCCCTAAAATTTAATTTCTGGATTGCAGTAATGACTGTTACTGAATATCCTATCCATTTTTAAGCACCCTCTTAGTAATCTTTGTTTCCATGGAAAACATAATTTCCATTAGCAGTTTGAATGTTCAAAAAGCATATAATAATTATTTTAGCCCATTTTATCCAGTAAAGAATTATAATGTCTAAAATTCAAAAGGCTATCTAGAGTAATATAAATATCTTCAGCTGTGTTTATATGTTTTATTTGCTCAAATGTTTAGGCTCCCTCTATTAAATACAGCCAGGCATATAGAAAGCAAAAAATGAGCTTTTATTTCAGGATAGTGAAATGTCTGTTTGTTTTTTGATCAGGCAAGTATTCTAATAAAAGGCAGGATATTTTTTGAGCCCTTGTCATTTGGATGTTCTACAGTGGTAGTGAAATATACACAGACACTTTCATTAGAGTTGTCGTGTGTGATATAGAAATGATGTGTAACCATATCTTGCTCCTTTCTGGGCTGAAAATATAATTTATCTCACTAAAAGCACAAGTGAAAAAGCTAAAAATTCGTATATTGTGCTTTTTCTATTGGTGAGTGTAAGATGTTTGCTAGTCTGATCCTTATACTGCTAAAAAGATGTTCCCAAGTAAACAAAAGTAGGTGAAATAGTCCAGCTGCTTCGATATGAACTTATGTACCATTTATTGAGGTTTTGTTAGAATTATGACAGATACTACTGATCTATTAGCAACAGTCCTTGTCAATTAATTTTAGTAACTTTTATAACAAAAAAAAATGATAGTGGGGGAATTTTGATACCTTTGAGGATCAAATTGAGACAATGTAAAATAAAGATGATTAGATGTTATATCACAGTGCATCCCTTAAGATAGATTTGCAGTAAACATTAAAAATTATCAAGTGCAGTTGTGTTAAAGCTCTGATACATAAACATGGAACATCACCACCCTATAGTTTTTTCTTTGTTTAATGTTATGAATAGCATGTTAGGAATGCATACTTTGTACTTTTCTTTGCAGTGTCTGAAGTTAAATTATTATAAACATATTGACAGGTGTTGGCATAGAGAATGACAACTTTCTCCTTCAACCTTCTTTCATGTAATGAGAGATAATAAATATCTTTTTAAAATATAACAATTAATACATGTTGTGTGAAAATTTTCCCCAAATCTCTTAAGCAGGTGAGGGAGGAGCATTTTAGAAAGTCAAGAGGAGACAGGTCCCTAGAGAACAAAGTTTTTCTACACTGCTGCTTTTCATTTTTTTAAGGATTTGTGAAAATCATGTAGTGGTTTAGTTGGAATGAATGACCAGCATTTGTGTGTTTTGTTGATGTTAGCAATATTTCATGAGTCTTATTTTCATATAGATGAACAGACTTGAACGATGAGCTGCGAAGAGCATTCTTTTCTTTTACCAGACACATTCTGCTTAGCTTCTTTTGATGGATAAGTTTATTTCTGCAAAGGCCTGCCTTTCTCACCTTTACCTTTTCCTAAAATTTACCTGCTTATTCTCAAATTTTCTTGTTCTGGTATTTCACTGCATTTGTTAAAAACAGTGGGTATTTGTTACCAGTCAAAATGGTACCTTTTCAGTAACAGTCCCTGCGGCCAGTGAGGAAAGGGCAGGAGCACAACTAATTGTATTTATTTTTTAAGAGAGGCACTAAACTTTTGTTTCTCTTATGGGTGCTTTGCTATCAGTAATAAAGTGGATGAATGCCGCATCATTTTAAGTCTCAGAAATACCAGCATTAAGCATAAGTTCCTGACGACTTGAAATAGCTTCCACCTGAAATTGGTGTACAGGTGTCTGGGTAGATGCACTTTGTCACTGTGTTGCAGCTGTTCCCTGTGGGTGAGGACAGGAGTTGCTGTGATTAGAGGGGTTGCTGTTGTTTGCTGGCTTGTTTTCTCCTGGTGGTGGTGATTTTTTTTTTTTTTTTTCATTTTTAGAATTTGTTTCTCTTTGAAAGAAAATGCTGTCCCATAGTCCAGGAGTCTGTATTCCTCTACTTGTGCTTTTATATCAGTGGACTCTTTTGAATTTGCATACTTCATGCCAAAGACTTTTGATACTGAAACCAGAAAAAAGTAGAGAAAGTCATCAAAAATTAGGTGCAAAATGTTGGTAAAGGAATTAGTCCTGAAACTCATTACTTCAAAAATACAGTTTTGAAATGTGGGTTAGCACAGTTACACTGTTTTGGTTACAGAAATCCCACTATGAGGTGAAGTTGCTTTGTAAGAGATATTGTGGTGAGCTATTTATTTTAAAAATATTTGTGAAGTAATAGCTCCTATTTTAACCATAGAATCTAATTAAGTAACATAGAAACTGAGTATGGCTCTTGACTTTTCTGGCGGTGTCATTTTCAGATCAACTTGTCTTACTCTGCAATATCCTTCAAAATACTAGCCCAGGCCAAATGCCACCAGTCTTCCTAGAGAAAGCTTTTCTTAATGTTAAGTAGCAGTTTCACTTGAATAAAGATATTGGTATTTGATCCTAACTTAACTATTCCTACTTGTCATTTTTTACTGTATTTTCAAACAATTCTAGTATAAATTATGAAGTATTGCTCTGAAAAATAAATCTTAGAAGGAAAAAAAGCACCCATCACGTTTAGCTGTGTGAGAAATTGTTGAGATTCAAAAGTTGGTATAGACACCAAGGGTATGTTGTATATAAAATTCTCAGTAGGGTAAAAAAATCCCAAGAATGAAGTGGCTGATTCAAGCATCAAAACCCCCTATGGACTGAGGCTGACTTTCCTGGAGTTAGATCTAGTCCTTAATTAATGCTTAATTGAAGGCAATTTGTGACATAATTAGATGATGGGGGGGGGGGAAGCTGGGAGTGCATGCACTTGACTTGCATATTAAGGTAATTTTACTGTAGGATAAAAAGTTATTCTTTGAGATTCAGTCTGTAGTTCTATGAATCTAAAAATAAATAAAGCTGTAAGTATATAGCGAGGGCAATACCAAGCCCCTAATTTTGGAGCAGAAGTGTTTCCTATTTAATTATTGCAGGACAGAAAAAAAAATTGACTGCTAATATTTTTTTTTTCTTTGCTGGCAAGGTTTTGTTCCAGTGAAATGAAATGTTAAGTTTCTTGTGCTGGATCTGATGACTGTGGTTTTCTTTGGTTCATTAGTGGGCTTTTGATCTTTTCATAATGCTGTGTATGCTTGAAATATGGAGTGGGGATATGGGAGTTAAATGAATCTGCATGCATTTAAATAAACAAGTTTTTATTTTCAAACCTCTGCATTGGCTTTGGTATTTTATTTTCCTTTCCCACATTGTTACCTGTGTTTCAGAACTGTGTGCATCCTTCTATATAACCATACATGTATATGCTGCATAGAAACAAGGTAGAAATTGTTTCTGGCTGATTATGTTTTGCTAGTAGTTCCCTTGTACTAGTCTTTAAAGAAACATATGTTATATATATATTTTTTTTAATTGGAGTTGACTTGATTAGAATTTATGGGACTGGAATAATTTCAGTTACAAAGGATAAAGGACTGTCTTTTACCTCTTGAGACAGTGGTCTCTGCAGGTCAGAGCAGAGGTCATTGCCAGGTTGCTGTGAGGAAGCTGACATTATCATCCTTAACAGTATATCTAGCCTGTGGGGGCCTTCAGACTATGAGCTTTCCTTTCATCAGTCTATTTAAGGATGATTCTCAGTGGTTTGGTTATAGCCTCAAATTTTAAAGGCCTATAAGATCTCTGCCCATCAGGAACACTTTG